CTTACTTTGAAAAGAAAATAGACTCCCAGTTAACTAGCATCCTAGGGAATGAGTAGCTGTAGTTTCTGTTTATTTGAGAGTTCTTATTAAAAATAGGCCTAACCAATTCCATACTCCATAGTATATGATGCCACAGACTCTATTTTGATTTGATATTTATATTGGAACCTGAGAGATTAATAAAGGAGCAATTAAGACCTTTTTGCTTCCTCTTCATCCTGGAAAGAAGTGACGAGCGGAGTGCCATCAGGAGGGTTCCGTCCTGGGCCCGGTCCTGTTCAACATCTTTATTAATGACTTAGATGAAGGGCTAGAAGGCAGGATCATCAAGTTTGCAGACGACACCAAATTGGGAGGGAGAGCCAATACTCCAGAGGACAGGAGCAGGATTCAAAACGATCTTGACAGATTAGAGAGATGATTGGCCAAAACTAACAAAATGAAGTTCAACAGTGACAAATGCAAGATACTCCACTTTGGCAGGAAAAACGAAATGCAAAGATACAGAATGGGGCAATGCCTGGCTCGAGAGCAGTACGTGTGAAAAAGATCTTGGAGTCCTCGTGGACAACAAGTTAAACATGAGCCAACAATGTGATGTGGCGGCAAAAAAGCCAATGGGATTTTGGCCTGCATCAGTAGGAGCCTAGTGTCTAGATCTAGGGAAGTAATGCTACCCCTCTATTTCGCTTTGGTTAGACCACACCTGGAATATTGAGTCCAATTCTGGGCACCACAATTCAAGAGAGATATTGACATGGAATGTGTCCAGAGGAGGTGACTAAAATGATCCAGGGTCTGGAGAACAAGCCCTATGAGGAGGCTTAAGGAGCTGGGCATGTTTAGCCTGAAGAAGAGAAGGCTGAGAGGAGATAGTAGCCATGTATAAATATGTGAGAGGAAGCCACAGGGAGGGGAGCCAGCTTGTTTTCTGCTTCCTTGGGGACTAGGACGCGAACAATGGCTTCAAACTACAAGAGAGGAGATTCCATCTGAACATGAGGAAGAACTTCCTGACTGTGAGAGCCGTTCAGCAGTGGAACTCTCTGCCCCGGAGTGTGGTGGAGGCTCCTTCTTTGGAAGCTTTTAAACAGAGGCTGGATGGCCATCTGTCAGGGGTGATTTGAATGCAATATTCCTGCTTCTTGACAGGGTTGGACTGGATGGCCCATGAGGTCTCTTCCAACTCTTTGATTCTATGATAAATACTGGTTTATTTATTTATTTATTTATTTATTTATACATACGTTTTGTATACCGACCTTCTCACCTCTCTTGAGGGACTCAGACCAGTTTCCAACCATAATATCACGTACAGTCAATAAAACATCATACTTCATATTACAATAAAACATTAAAACATTGAAACAGCAAATACATTCAATAAATACAATGGTCAGTCGTCCCACTAAAATCGGTGTTCATCATCCTCCATCCATCTCAGGGTGTTGGCTCACTCGTCGAATGCCTGTCTCCATAACCACGCCTTCACCTGCTTCCTGAATGTCAGGATAGAAGGGGCGGTTCTGATCTCCGGTGGGAGAGAGTTCCAGAGTCGAGGGGCCACCACCGAGAAAGCCCTGTCCCTCGTCCCCACCAGACGAGCTTGCGAGGCCGGTGGGACCGACAGCAGGGCCTCTCCAGACGATCTTAATAATCTTGATTGTTCATAGGGGAGAATACGTTCGGAGAGGTAAACAGGGCCGGAGTCATTTAGGGCTTTATAGTTTAACACCAGCAATTTATATTGTGCTCGGAAGCTAATTGGCAGCCAGTGGAGCTGGTGTAACAGCAGAGTGGTGTGCTCCCTGTACCCAGCATTCTAAGTACTAAATACCCTAACCCTAACCCAACCTCACAACCTCTGGGGATGCTTCCCAAAGATGCAGGCGAAACATCAGGAGAGAATGCTTCTGGAACATGGCCATACAGCCTGAAAAACTACAACAACCCATTCTAAGTACTGTTGCACTCTGTATTCACTGCACTATGTATTCAGCTGTATTTCTATATCTTTCTTTTGGATGGGTTTATAAAAAGAAGCTGGATGGACATCTCTTAAGAGCGCTTGGATTGTGTCTTCCTTCATGGCAAAATAATAATAATGATAATAATAATAATAATAATAATAATAATATAAAACTTTATTTATAGCCCGCCTCCATCTCCCCCAGGGGGACTTGGGACAGCTTACATGAGGCCATGCCCATCAGTACAGTAAACACAATATAACGTAAAAGCATAACAAAACTAGAAAATAAAATACATAAAATGCAAAACCAATATAATAAGCGACACAGCGATATAAAATCAAACATTAAAACACAAAAGATTACACTGGGCAGGGCCAAATTCAAAGATAAAATTTTAAAACACTGGGAGATAGGACAGTGTAAATTATCAGGGAGGGGATCCGGGCATGAGGAAGGATTTAATTGCACGAACCATAAAATGAAGTGCTTCTGAGGTCATGTTATGCAAAGTTTGGTCAGGGAGTATCTTACGTTCAATCATTGAAAGCACATTGGAATAACCAGGTTTTCAGGCTCCTCCTGAAGATTACCAAAGAACACAGATATCTTCCTCCTGAAGATTGCCTAATATCTCTGGGGAGTTAGGTGCCACCTCTATGCAGATGACGCACAACTCTATTACTCATTCCCACCCAACTCCAAGGAGGCCTCTCGGGTGCTGGACGACTGCCTGGCCGCTGTGTCTATCTGGATGAGGAGGAACAAGCTGAAGATCAATCCCGACAAGACAGAGGTCCTCCTGGTCGATCGTAAACCAGATCAGGGTATAGGGTGGCAACCTGTGTTGGACGGGGTTACACTCCCCCTGAAGTCACAGGTCCGCAGTTTGGGAGTCCTCTTGGATTCATCACTTACGCTTGAGGCTCAGGCGTCGGCGGTGGCCGGGAGGGCTTTTGCACAATTGAGACTTGTGCGCCAACTGCGACCATACCTCAAAGGCTGATCTGGCTGGGGTGGTCCATGCCTTGGTCACCTCTAGATTGGACTACTGTAATGCGCTCTACGTGGGGCTGCCCTTGAAAACGGCTCGGAAATTCCAACTGGTCCAACGGGCAGCGGCCAGGATGTTAACTGGTGCTCCTTACAGAGAGAGGTCAACCCTCCTGTTTAAGGAGCTCCACTGGCTGCCTTTTATTTTCCGAGCCCAATTTAAGGTGCAGGTGCTTACCTACAAAGCCCTGAACGGTTTGGGACCATCCTACCTGCGTGACCGCATCTCCGTCTACGAACCCACACGTTCACTTCGGTCATCTGGAGAGGCCCTGCTCGTGATCCCGCCTGCGTCGCAAGCGCGTTTGGTGGGGACACAAGACAGGACCTTTTCTGTGGTGGCCCCCCGACTCTGGAACACCCTCCCCAAAGATCTTAGACAGGCCCCTACATTGGCAGTCTTTAGAAAGAACTTGAAGACTTGGCTGTTCCGATGTGCCTTTCCAGAATAGGAAAACTCCAACAACAAGTCCCAGAAGCACTTTATTAGAAATTAAGATTGCTGGCACACTGCACTTTCCCTATAATCCTTACATATCACCTGTCACATCAGCACTTTTAATCTGTACCCATTACTCTGGCCCGGCCCAGTTTTATTGTGTCCTAGTGTATTGGACACAAGACAGGAAAGCCTAGAGAAGACAATTATGCTGGGGAAAGTGGAAGGCAAAAGGAAGAGGGGCCGACCAAGGGCAAGATGGATGGATGGCATCCTTGAAGTGACTGGACTGACCTTGAGGGAGCTGGGGGTGGTGACGGCCGACAGGGAGCTCTGGCGTGGGCTGGTCCATGAGGTCACGAAGAGTCGGAGACGACTGAACGATACACTTAATTGCTGCCAGCTCCTTGTTTATTGCTTGTTGTTTATATTGCTTATTGTTTTAATTTGCTTTAGGTTTTGTATTGTATATTGTGTGTTGAGGCCTTGGCCTTTGTAAGCCTCATCGAGTCCCTCGGGAGATGCTAGCGGGGTACAAATAAAGTTTAATAATAATAATAATAATAATTGCGAGTCGTGGGGGCACCACAGAAAAGGTTCTCTCTCTCGTCCCCACAAGTCGCACTTGTGATGCTGGCAGGTGAGATTTACCCCACTCAGCTCATCCAGCCAGGTCTTGGTGATGCAAACCAGGTCCATCCCCTTATCCAGTATCAGGTCCTGGATGACAGCTGTCTTACCGTTGATGGACCTGGCATTTACCAGCAGGATCTTAAGTCCAGGGGGTCTGTCATGGAGTCTACCACGTCCTACCTTCTCCAGGGTCGCAAGGACTCTACTGTGCTTCTCCCTGGGGTGATTTTGGCGAACAACATTCCTCCTCCTCCACACAACCTCAATGGTGCCCCCCCCATCCAAAACACCTCCCTCCCACTGGGAAATAGGTTTGCTAGAACTGGCATCCTGAGATTGGAGTGGATGACACTTGGGGTCTCCTCCAACGTTAGAATTCTATGGTTCTAAATGCAATCAGATTAAATGCTGTATGCCACTGAGGATTATGCTGTACGTCTGCCTCCTTCTTTTGAGGTTTTTAAGGAGAGGCTGGATGGCCATCTGTCAGGAGTGTGTTGGTTGTGTCTTCCTGCATGGCAGAAGGTGATTGGACTGGATGGCCCTGTGAGTCTCTTCCAACTCTATGATTTTTCTTTACCGTATTCACTTTCCTGTCCCTAAAGTATATAATAGCAGAGCCCTTCAAGTCCAAATTACGACATGCTTTTGCAGAAAAAGAAATGGTTGCATGAAAACATTATTATCTGTCATTTCTTGCAGTGGGAATAAGCCAAAAGGAAGGTGTACTTTCACGAAGGTGGGGGGATTGCCGGAGAAGGGACAATAGAGGAGGAATCTGGATAGTATTGTGGTGGTTGTTGTTGTGTTGTTTCAAATGTGAGCTTGTCGTGGAGAAGGGGGGGGGGGAGAGAGCTGACATTCCTGGAGACGAAGATCCATTTTCTTGTTATCTGTCTTTGCAGGCTTTCTGGCAGCCGTGCCGCAGGAATCTTTGCTGTGGGGATGTTTGCGTTCTCTCGCCTCACATGGCAGTGGTCCACCTCCGCCGAGGTTTTCAGCTTAAACAATCTGTGTGTCGGGCTGCTCCTGGCTCTCTCTGCCCGCTTCCAGGAGGCGGCGTCCGCCAAGGAGAGATCAAAGGTAGCCCACTCCAGGATCAAAAGACGTCTCCGCTCTCCACTTTCTCCCGGTTCTCCCCCCTTCCACCCCAGCCATGTCCACCCACTCCCCACTTTAAATGAAGAGACGTGGAATTGGCAGACCTTCCTGAGAAAACTGTAGGAATCTTTGGCGTCTATGGCAGAGTGGAGTGCAGCATAGTCAGTGCTCTATATGAGCTCATGGTAGGAATTGGGAGAGAAAATATACAAGATGTTTTACTAAGGGTCAAAAACGGTGAAAAGAACCCCTTACTTTGCAGGTGTCGTACACCAGAGCAGGAACACTTCTGACCTTAAACACCACACCAGCTTGGTAAAATCAGCAAGCAGTTTATTGAAGAATATATGTAGGCAAAGCGGTAAAATTAGCATAAGCAGTAAAATTCCAATACATAAAATAGTCCATAAGCTTCAAAGGGAAGTAAGATCTGTAAGTACTTGCAATCCATGAAACTGGGCACATTTATTTATTTGTCATGTCAGGGCAACCAGTCAATTATATTACATTTCTAACAGAACAAAACAAACAAACAGACAAAATACAAAATTTATGAGTTTGGTAGTTGATTAAATGTCCTTTGACCAGTATCGGGCCACTTGGAGTGCTTCTGGTGTTGCTGCAAGAAGGTCCTCCATCATGCATGTGGCAGGGCTCAGGTTGCATTGCAGCAGGTGGTCAGTGGTTTGCTCCTCTCCACTCACATGTCATGGATTCCACTTTGTAGCCCCATTTCTGAAGGTTGGCTCTGCATCTCGTGGTGCCGAGCGCAGTCTGTTCAGCGCCTTCCAAGTCGTCCAGTCTTCTGTGTGCCCAGGGGGGAGTCTCTCATTTGGTATCAGCCATTGGTTGAGGTTCTGGGTTTGAGCCTGCCACTTTTGGACTCTCACTTGCTGAGGTGTTCCAGTGAGTGTCTCTGTAGATCTTAGAAAACTATTTCTAGATTTAAGTCATTGACGTGCTGGCTGATACCCAAAGAGGGGATGAGCTGGAGATGTCTCTGCCTTTGTCCTTTCACTATTGGCTGCTACTTCCCGGCGGATGTCAGGTGGTGCAGTACCGGCTAAGCAGTGTAATTTCTCCAGTGGTGTAGGGCGCAGACACCCCGTGATAATGCGGCATGTCTCATTAAGAGCCACATCCACTGTTTTAGTGTGATGAGATGAAACAAAACAGCAGGAAAAATCCCAAACACAAATCTGGAGCTTGGCAAAAACTTGGTGCATGAAACTAAGAGCACTTGAAAACAAGACCATCATGAAATTCCAACGTTGACCCAACTGAGGCAACTCTTTCCCATGAATCAATATAAGGCTTTTCCAGATCCCAAAACTGAAAGGAAAGCATTTCTCTTGACCTTAACACCAGATAAAGTTTTGTTATCTCTCTTTTCCTGTAAATAAACGGATCATCTTTGCCTCTGAAGACTCTTTCTCTGTTTACAAAGGCTTTCCTTTCTATCTAGCTCCCATTATCTTGACTCTAATTAACTTCTGCACCTGACACACCATCTTCAGACAGTTGTTCTGAGAAAAGCTGTGAAGGGTCTCTCCCGGGAATGTGACCTTGTGAATCTCCCTGAGATATCTTGGGCCTTTCGCCTGAGCTTAACTCAGGCCCAAGCAAACCCTCATCCACAATGGCAACAGATCCAGGACCACCATCAAGAACATCACCCCCATTCCCATCATGAACATCAGACACAATCACAGGCTGAACAGGCTGACATACAACAGCAGGGGTGTCATACTCATTTTCATCAAGTTGCCTTCAAAGGGCCATTGAATCCATGGACAGACGGATACAGAGGGCCAACTATAATTTTTTTTACGTAGTGGTCAGTACTATATAGTTTTTACCCAGTTTGGGTCCTCAGATGTTACTTGGTCTGGAGAACAAGCCCTATGAGGAGCGGCTTAAGGAGCTGGGCATGTTTAGTCTGAAGAAGAGAAGGCTGAGAGGGGATATGATAGCCATGTATAAATATGTGAGAGGAAGCCACAGGGAGGAGGGAGCAAGCTTGTTTTCTGCTTCCTGGAGACTAGGACGCAAGAACAATGGCTTCAAACTACAAGAGAGGAGATTCCATCTGAACATGAGGAAGAACTTCCTGACTGTGAGAGCCGTTCAGCAGTGGAACTCTCTGCCCCGGAGTGTGGTGGAGGCTCCTTCTTTGAAAGCTTTTAAACAGAGGCCGGATGGCCATCTGTCAGGGGTGATTTGAATGCAATATTCCTGCTTCTTGGCAGGGGGTTGGACTGGATGGCCCATGAGGTCTCTTCCAACTCTTTGATTCTAGGATTCTATGAGCGACAGCTCCCATCACCTTTGATTTTCCACCATGTGGACTAGGGATAATGGGGATTGCAACAGCACTTGTGGCTTTAATGTTGGGGAAAGGTTAAAGGACATTTCAAAGCCAGACCTCATATCCACCAGCCTTGTATCTAAATCCAAATCCCGCTATTTGGACTAAACAGAACAAACTGCAGCCTTTCCGATGTTCCTGTACCCTGACTCCTATCAGCTCTAGTCATGATGCCTAATGAAGAAGAAGACAGGAATCCTCTGGGGAGCCACATAAAATGACATTGAGGTTGGATTTAGCCCATTGGCCTTGATTTTGACCCATGTGATTTATGTGTATAAAATTCCAAATCATAGAATCAAAGAGTTGGAAGAGACCTCATGGGCCATGCAGTCCAACCCCCTGCCAAGAAGCAGGAATATTGCATTCAAATCACCCCTGACAGATGGCCATCCAGCCTCTGCTTAAAAGCTTCCAAAGAAAGAGCCTCCACCACATTCCTGGGGAAAGAGTTCCACTGCTGAACGGCTCTCACAGTCAGGAAGTTCTTCCTCATGTTCAGACGGAATCTCCTCTCTTGTAGTTTGAAGCCATTGTTTTGTGTTCTAGTCTCCAGGGAAGCAGAAAACAAGCTTGCTTCCTCCTCTCTGTGGCTTCCTCTTACATATTTATACATGGCTATCATATCTCCTCTCAGCCTTCTCTTCTTCAGGCTAAACATGCCCAGCTCCTTTAGCCGCTCCTCATAGGGCTTGTTCTCCAGACCCTTGATCATTGTAGTCACCCTCTTCTGGACACATTCCAGCTTGTCAATATCCCTCTTCAATTGCTTTAGCTTTGCAGACCTTTTCCTTGCAGGTGTTGGCTATTTGTTTGAATTCTTCTTTGGTGGTTTCTCCCTTTTTCCACTTCTTGTGCATGTCTCCTTTGTGTCTTAGCTCAGTTAGAAGTTCTTTGGACATCCATTCAGGCTTCTTTGCACTTGTCTCTTTGTTGGCACGATTTGCAATTGCGCCTTGAGTATTTCACTCTTGAGAAATTCCCATCCATCCGTAACTCCCTTGTCTTTCAGTATCTGTGTCCACGGAATGCTGCTCAGTGTTTTCTTCATTTTTTGAAAATCAGCTCTCTTAAAGTGCAAAATGTGGGTTTGACTTGTCTTAGTTTCGGCCTTCCTTTGTACCTCAAATTGCAGGAGCACATGGTCACTTACCTCTAAGGATCCAACCACTTCAACCACATCGATCAGGTCCTCCGCATTTGTTAGGATGAGATCAAGAGTAGCCGACCCCCTTGTTGCCTCTTCTACCTTCTGGACCATGAAATTGTCTGCAAGGCAAGCGAGGAATTATCTGTGTTTGTTTGTTCGTTCGTTGGTTTGAGGGTTTGTTTGAGCCACAAAGGCTCCTGTGTGACATGATGGATCTGGATAAAAGTTTGCACACAGAACCTTCATTATTCAACATATAATACTGGTGGGGTTTTTATTAATAATCAGGTCCCTGTTGGGAGCAGGGCCCTCTAAACTAACAAAAGTTATATGCAGCCTACAGAAGCAACCACAAGAGGGCAGTATATAGATAGAAAGGGTATGTCAGAAGGAGATGTATTAAAGAGTGCTGAAGAAGACGCTCTAAGAGCCACTCAGACGCTTCGAGCATTGTCATAAAGCCACTCTTAAGGAGACATTTTCAGAGCACCAGGCAAAGATGGAAACGAGTTGGAGAAGGAAGAAAGCAGCTCCTCCGACACCTGGTCAATACTGAGTATATATGGTAGACTCTGATAAAAGAGTAGATAGAAAGACTTTGGTAGGAGAGTCCCTCATAGGGCTTGTTCTCCAGACCCTTGATCATTTTAGTTGTCCTCTTCTGGACACATTCAAGCTTGTCAATATCTCTCTTCAATCGTGGTGCCCAGAATTCGACGCAGTATTCCAGGTGTGGTCTAACCAAGGCAGAATACAGGGGTAGCATGTCTTCCCTGGATAGACTCTGGACTCCTATTGATGCAGGCCAAAATCCCATTGGTCTTCTTTGACGCTGCATGACACTGTTGGCTCATGTTTAACTTGTTGTCCACGAAGACTCGCAAGATCTTTTTCACACATACTACTGTCGAGCCACGAGTCTCCCATTCTGTATCTTTACATTTTATTTTCATTTCACTTGATATAAAATAATGACCCAAGCATATCAGGGTGGCATGAAGAGTGTTGAAGCTGCTCTACGTGTCAATCATTCAGCCAAAATATTCTTCATTTTTTAAAAATAAACAAGCACATCCATCTCATTAAGATACAGTTTGGCTTTCATCTTTAATGGTCAAATAATATGTATACCAAAGCATTGTTTTAAAACAACTTTCTTTATTACTTTACTAGCTGTACCTGCCACGCATTGCTGTGGCCAACCTTCCCTCTTTCTCTCCTTCTTTCCCTCCTTCCTTCACGCCCTCTTTCCTTCCTTCCTTACTTCCTTCCCTTCCTGCCTTCCTGCCTTCCTGCCTTCCTGTCTTTCCTTCTCTTCTTTCTCCCTCTTCTTTCTTTCCTTCTCTTCTCTCTCTTTGCTTCCTTCTCTCTTTCCTTCTTTCTTTCCCCCCTCTTTCTCTCATCTTCCCTCCTTCCTTTGCTCCCTCTTTCCTTCCTTCTTTCATTTTCTTTCCTTCTCTCCTTCCTTCTCTAACTTTTCTTTCCCTTCCTCTCCCCCTTTTTCTTTCCCTACCTTTTTCTCTCCTTTCTTCCTTCTCTACCTCTTTCTTCCTTTCCTTCCTCTCTTTTTCCTTCCTTCTCCTTTCCTCCTTTCTTTCTTTCTCCCTCCCTCTTTTTTTTCTTTTCTTTCTTCTTGTTTTTTTTCTCCCCTTCCCTCCCTCTTTCTTCCCTTTTTTCTGTATTGTCATTTAACTTTTCGTCATTTAGCTTTTGGGGGCTTTTAAAGTCCCTTCTGCTGTGTTTTCAGTGTTTTTATAAGTGAAGGACATACATTGGGTTGTTAGGTGCCTTGTGTCCAAATTTGCTGTCAATTCCCGCAGTGGTTTTTGAGTTCTGTTAATCCCACAAACAAACATTACATTTTTATTTATATAGATGTAACAAAAAATTCATTTTTTTTCTGTTCCTGGTTTGAAAGTGTTATTTCCTGTTTAAGTCTGCAGTACTTACTTTAAAAGTAGTTGTCCTACTCCAGAAGCTTCACTTTTGTGGCTGCCACAAACTAGGTTGAATGGGTTAAGACTATGGGATATTCCTTGAAAAACTATAGCAAAATGAGCATAGCAAAATGTCCCTTCTGCAAAGACAAAGTTTTGGCAGTTTAATAATCTTTTCCCATGTTTTTTAGGAATTAGGAAATGGCATTTATAACTTAGGAACAAAAGTTGTGATACATAGGTAAAGGTTTTCCCCTGACATTAAGTCCAGTCATGTCTGACTCTGGGGTGCGGTGCTCATTTACACGATCAAGGGTCTGGAGAACAAGCCCTATGAGGAGCGGCATAAGGAGCTGGGCATGTTTAGCCTGAAGAAGAGAAGGCTGAGAGGGGATATGATAGCCATGTATAAATATGTGAGAGGAAGCCACAGGGAGGAGGGAGCAAGCCTGTTTTCTGCTTCCTTGGAGACTAGGGCACGGAACAATGGCTTCAAACTACAAGAGGGGAGATTCCATCTGAACATGAGGAAGAACTTCCTGACTGTGAGAGCCGTTCAGCAGTGGAACTCTCTGCCCCGGAGTGTGGTGGAGGCTCCTTCTTTGGAAGCTTTTAAACAGGCTGGATGAGCATCTGTCAGGGGTGATTTGAATGCAATATTCCTGCTTCCTGGCAGGGGGTTGAACTGGATGGCCCATGAGGTCTCTTCCAACTCTTTGATTCTATGATTCTATGATTTCCATTTCTAAGCTGAAGAGCCGGAGTTGTCCATAGACACCTCCAAGGTCATGTGGCCGGCATGGAGTGCAATTACCTTCCCACCGGAGCAGTACCTATTGATCTACTCACATTTGCATGTTTTTGAACTGCTAGGTTGGCAGAAGCTAGGGCTGACAGCGGAAGCTCACGCCGCTCCCCAGAATCGAACCTGCGACCTTTCGGTCAACAAGCTCAGTGACTCAGCGCTTTAACCCACTGCGCCACCGGGGGCTCCAGTGGATTACATAGTAATCAGTAAATGTTTGATTTGTATACCTATTTTATATAGGTTATACAAATTTTATATTTTATATTTTATTTTTCATGAAAAAATGCCTTGGGGGAAAAAGTGTCACAAGTCAAAACAACTTTGAGAATTCTACCAACAATTTGATATAAGCCAAAGCCACAATCACATCTTCATCTGGAAAAGTTTACCTTTTGGGCTCCAGCTCTCCAATCCCCAAAATGGTAAGCAGTTGTCACAAATGGCCATACTCCTTGAAGAACTTTGGGGTGCGTAGTCCTAAAATACTACTCTGACAGCTCTTGGGTTCACTTCCAACGAATAATTTCACAGGGATATTATGAGACCAAGTGTTATGAATAACTTTCCCACATTGGAAAAGAATATCCCACTTATGTCATGAATGACTTTTCAATAACTTTGAAGCATAGGTTCTTTTTATTGCAATTTCCAGTGTGAGAGGGTATATCAGATTACAGAAAACATTTAGACAAAGAATGACATTGGACATACAGACATACAGATTCTATACAACTACATTGGATTTACAATTACATTGGTTAACAAACAAACAAAGGGGAATTACATTTTCACTCAACATTCACACATGTACACGCATTCATCCACATGCATCCAAATATTACCATATCCTTTTTCCCTCCTTGGAGAAGCACCTGTCAGGCCAGACCCTCCTTTCCTGCAGCCTGCCAAGGCATAGTTCCATAATGCCAAAACTTCAAAACGTCGAAATGCCAAAACTTCTTTCCCTAAGAACAATGCCAAGGACCAGATCTCTGTTTTCCATATAGCAGAACCTGATTCCCTGCACAAAATCCAAGACTCCAAAAGTGCACTTCTTCCTCTTCCCTTGAGAAAGAAGCCCCAAAGTGACCAGACTGCTCATGTGCAGATCTGCCACTATCCATAGGTACACTGTCTCTCTCCTTCCCATGGAGCAGAGCATTGTGGCTGGAACAGACTCCTCAGGTCTGCCACACTTTGAGCATTATTAGACTGAGTCTTTTATAGGAATATTCTGTTGATATAGTCCCAAAGTTGTAAATTAATAATGGATGACTTCTTGCTCCATCTCAGTTTCCTGGCCAGATGTTGATCTTCTTGATTGGTGTTGATCTTATGTTGACTTCCTTCTTAACATAAGGAATGTTGCAAACATTTCCTTAACTTGAAAGAACCATTGTCACAGTTCTTATCAATTCTCATTAGCAGGTTTTGATCACAGTTCCAGTAAGCAGGTAGTTAGTCATTGAAGGCCTTAATATTATACTGGCGTTTCCAAAATTATTAACTCCATTGTTACAACTTCCATTCTTCCATTCATTCCCACACATCATATTAAATTCATATTTATCAAATCTACACATTGAATTTCTTGTGACACAAGATTTGGAACATAACATTGGAAACCTTAGTACTTGCATTTCTTTTCTATTTTTTGCAGATCTGTAAAGCAGGCGCTTTCTGTTGTGGGCTGAGCTTGTGCAACCAGCACACCATTGTGATCTATGTGCTTTGCATTGTGCTATGGGTTTCCTTCCGCTTGTTCAGGGAGAGGGTGAGTATTTTGGTTTGGGATGGCATGGGCAAAGTTCGGGCCTCCAGGTGTTTTGAACTTCAACTCCTACAATGCCCAACAACCTATAGTCATAGAGGATCCCAAGTAGAATTACCCAGTGTTGAGGGCTTCCAGGTGCTTTTGGCCTCCAACCGCTATTAGCCCAAGACAGTTGGTGTTGGGAGATTATGGAAGATGTAGTCCAAACTGACTTACTGCAGCAGGTTAGGGAGATCTGTTCCAAATCTTTGTTTACCGGAGTAGATAGGAGTATAGGAGGCAAAGGGAGGGGGGGCTCCCAAAGACCTTGGACAGACCCCCACAACCTCTGCAAAAATTAGTAATTTTGAACTCCATTGTGTATGTGGCAGGCCTCAGACTGCATTGAAGCGAATTAACGTACAGTTATAATGTATTTAAAAACACAAAGTTAAACTTAGCATTATACTAAATGTCCTTTGACCAGAAACTGGCCACTTGGAGTGCCTCTGGTGTCACTGTGAGAAGGTCCTCCATTATGCATGTGGCAGGGATCAGACTACATTGTAGTAGGTGGTCTGTGGTTTGCTCTTCTTCACACTCGCATGTCATGGACTCCACTTTGCAGCCCCATTTCTTAAGGTTGGCTCTGCATCTCATGGTGCCAGAGCGAAGTCTGTTCAGCGCCTTCCAAGTCGCCCAGTTTTCTGTGTGCCCAGGAGGGAGCCTCTCATTTGGTATCAGCCATTGATTGAGGTTCTGGGTTTGAGCCTGCCACTTTTGGACTCTTGTGTGCTGAGGTGTTCCAGCGAGAGTCTCTGTAGATCTTAGAAAACTATTTCTTGATTTAAGTCACTGGCGTGCTGGCTGATATCCGAACAGGGGACGAGCTGGAGATGTCACTGCCTTGGTCCTTTCACTATTGGTTGCTACTTCCCGGCGGATGTCAGGTGGTGCAATACCGGCTAAACAGTGTAATTTCTCCAGTGTTGTAGGGCGCGGACATCCTGTGATAATGCAACATGTCTCATTAAGAGCCACAACTGTTTTAGCGTGGTGAGATGTGTTCCACACTGGGCATGCATACTCAGCAGCAGAGTATTTAATTTAATATTTATAACTGTGTTAATTGTAACTATGATTTTTAATGTATTGTGCTGGCATCTAATGACTGCCTGTTGTAAGCTGTCCTGAGTCCCTCGTCGGAGGTGAGAAGGGTGGGATATTAATGGCAAAATAAATAAACTTTATTTTTGTACCCCGCCTCTCCCCGAAGGGACTCAGGACAACTTACATGGGGCCAAGCCCGGACAACACAGTTTAAAATGTAACACATTAAAATGTACAACAACAATATAAAACAGAAGAAAACAATATTATAATAATAGGTAAAAAAGGCATTGAAACAAACAAACGATAACAATAACTATTTCAGTGGGTTGTGTAGGTTTTTCGGGCTTTATGGCCATGTTCTAGTAGCATTCTCTCCTGACGTTTCACCTGTATCTATGGCAAGCATCCTCAGAGGTTGTGACCTCACAACCTCTGAGGATGCTTGCCATAGATGCAGGCGAAACGTCAGGAGAGAATGCTTCTAGAACATGGCCATATAGCCCAAAACCTACAACAACCCAGTGATTCCAGCCATGAAAGCCTTCGACAATACATAATAACTAGTCACAATTTTTTTTCTGTTTTCTTTTTTTTCTTTTTTTTGTTTTATCTATTTATTTTTTTTTGGTATGTTGTCTCGGGTATTATTTTAACTTTATGATCCCTCCTCTTCCTTCCTTCCTACTTTTCTCTCATAGTATTGTTCCCCCACTTTACTCACACCAGAAGCGAGTTTTTCAAATCGCTCCTGACACGACAAAAAAAAAAACTTGGAAAAAATTCTTTTTTTCTTCCCTTTCTTTTTTGTCATTATTCAAAATAAATAAAAATTTACTTTAAAAAAAGAAAAAATAAAGAAAAATAAAAAAGACAATACATACTAACTATTTCAGTTTATCTTCATGGGTAGGTGGGCTAGTGCAACAAAATTCAAATTTAAAGAAACTTGTGTATATGAGTCTTAAGGAGAGGTGGGTAATAAATGCAAATTGTTTTTGTTGTATAATTTGTATTTCTTGCACAAAAAAGGGGACCCGACCAGCCGAAGCCTTTCCCCATAGTGTGGTGTTGTGTTTTGTGGCCACAGATAACACCCCATTGCTTTTAAATCCTCCGGTGTCGGATGAGTCTTGGCGCTCTCCGAAGCCATCAAGATAAATAACGATGACAAGATCGACTATTGATGAAGAGCATGTTGAAAACAAGCCTTTAGAAAAAATAAACCCAAAAGATTTTAATTTAATTACGGGGAGGGAGGTTGGGGGGGGGACACGCGGTGTTGACGGAAAACCGGGCAACTTCTTAATCATTGCAAAGTGGTTTATCTACGCCTTGCAGCATTTCCACCATCCGGGCCTGTCATGGCACAATTTCAAGGCCGGGGGGTGGGAGGGCGCCGAAAAAAGAGGGGAAGACAGAGAGAGGGGGGGAAAAATAAAATAAAATAAAGATGCCACAAATGTGATCTTCAGAAACCTTTAATGTCATTTGCTTCACTTTTAAGATTTCACCCTGCCATGCAAAAGAGATCAGAGCGATCAGAGGCCAAGTAATCCATGGAAAGAGGGCTGTTTTTTAAATATATATATATATATGTATATATATATATATCTCATTTTGTGAGGACTTGAAACTGATCTCTCAATTTGCACTCTCTACTGTCAGTATAGGGATATTTCTCTCCCCCCTTCTCTCCACTGGTGTCCAGTCTTGTTGTTCCAGGAAGAGTAAATGAAAGTAATGGTGGGTGTGATAAATAAACTCATAAAACAAGCAATAAACATTAAAACAATAGCAATAAACATTAGACAATATGACACATTGGGTGGGATATTAATGACGAAATAAATAATTATTTTGGTACCCCGCCTCTCTGCGAAGGGACTCAGGACGGCTTACATGGGGCCAAGCCCAGACGAAACAGTTTAAAATGTTTTTGATATGTTGTTTCGGGTGTTTTTTTCAACTTTAAGATCTCTCCTCTTCCTTCCTTCCTACTTTTCTCTCATAGTATTCTTCCCTTACTTTACTTGGAAAAAATCTTTTTCTCATCCCTTTCTATTTTGTCATTATTCAAAATAAATAACCTCTGAGGATGCTTGTCATAGATGCAGGCGAAATGTCAGGAGAGAATGCTTCTAGAACATGGCCATAAAGCCCGAAAAACCTACAACAACCCAGTGATTCCAGCCATGAAAGCCTTCGACAATACATAATAGCTAGTCACAATTTAAAATGCACATTAAAATGCACAACAACAATATAAAACAGAATAAAACAACATTATAACAATAGGTAAAAAAGGCATTGAAACAAACAAACGATAACAATAACTATTTCAGTGGGTTGTTGTAGGTTTTTCGGGCTTTATGGCCATGTTCTAGTAGCATTCTCTCCTGGCGTTTTGCCTGCATCTATGGCAAGTAGGCCTGGTCAATCCATGATTCTAAATGGTTCTGAAGTACTTACAAAACTAAAGTTCTGGTGGTGAAAATTTCTGAACTCTAACAAAACTCTCAAAATTTCAATAAAAATGGCAGTTCCAAATTAGTTCTATCATAAAAATCAACAATAATGAAATCATAATTAAATTTTTAAAGTTTTGTTAGAATTCTGAAATTTTCATCACCAGAACTTTAGTTTTGTAAGTACTTTAGAACCATTTAGAACCATGGATTGACCAGGCCTAATGGCAAGCATCCTTAGAGGTTGTGATGTCTGTGAGGTTGTAACCTAACAACCTCTGAGGATGCTTGCCATAAATGCAAGTGAAATGTCAGGAGAGAATGCTTCTAGAACATGGCCATATAGCCCGAAAAACATACAACAACCCAGTAATTCCAGCCGTGAAAGCCTTTGACAATACATAACTAGTCACAATCTTTTTCTGTTTTCTTGGTCTAGGAATTGACCCTCGGCTGCATGCTGAAGCTGGGGCTTTGCTTCTTGGCTGGTTGCCTGCTGTATCTCTACTTGCCGGCCTCGTCTTTCCTCAACCAAGCCCGTTGGACCTGGGGAGACCAGACCCACCTGAAAGGATTCATGACCCACCTTCTCCGGGAAGAGTATGGGACATTCAGTCTGGTAAATAAGACTTCTCGTTTGCAAAAACAACTCTCTTGTTCTTATCTGCAGGCAGGACACTTACTTTCCCTCACACATCTTTTCTTTCTCCCTCTCCTCTTTCCTTCCTTTCCCTTTCCTTTTTTCCCTGTCTTCCTGCTTTTCCTTTGTCACTTCTTTCTCTGCTCCCTTTCTTTTCTCTTTCCTCTTTCTTTCCTCCCCTCTCCTCATACTTTCTCTTTTTTCCTCCCTATTATTGCCTTTCTTTTCTCCTTTTTCTTTCCTTCCCTCCTTCCTTCCTCCTTTCCCCTCATACATCATACATCTAGCACTTCATCTAGCCTCATGGGCCATCCAGTCCAACCCCCTGCTAAGAAGCAGGAATATTGCATTCAAAGCACCCCTGACAGATGGCCATCCAGCCTCTGTTTAAAAGCCCCCAGAGAAGGAGCCTCCACCACACTCTGGGGCAGAGAGTTCCACTGCTGAACAGCTCTCAGAGTCAGGAAGTTCTTCCTAATGTTCAGATGGAATCTCCTTTCTTGTAGTTTGAAGCCATTGTTCCTGTCCTAGTCTCCAGGGAAGCAGAAAACAAGCTTTCCCTCCTCCCTGTGACTTCCTCTCCCATATTTATACATGGCTATCATATCTCCTCTCAGCCTTCTCTTCTTCAGGCTAAACATGCCCAGCTCCTTAAGCCTGCTCCTCATAGGGCTTGTTCTCCAGACCCCTGATCATTTTAGTCGCCCTCCTCTGGACACATTCCAGCTTGTCAATATCTCTCTTAAATTGTGGTGCCCAGAATTGGACACAATATTCAAGGTGTGGTCTAACCAAAGTGGAATAGAGGGATAGCATGACTTCCCTAGATCTAGACACTATGCCCATCAAGCCACATCAGAGCCTTGGTGGTACAAATGGACAACCAACAAGCAAACATATACATCCTTTGACTTGTATAGATAGATAGATAGATAGATAGATAGATAGATAGATAGATAGATAGATATCAATATTAAGTCCCAGACTGGGGAAAAAATTGGACATAAATAAATACTAGCCTACTAGCCTATATTATCATATATAGAAGTCTAGACATCAGTCCCCCAAATCTGCGTCGGCATATCCATGGGTCAATCCTAAGGCAAGAGCTTAGTCCATCCTCATCTTGCATGTGAAGTTGACTTATACACAACTATATAAGATAATATGAATATTTATGTCCAGGCGTTTTTTCCAGTCAGGGTGACTTCAGAACCCAAAAGAAACATGACTCGTATATACAATCATCGTTCCACATTGGCAGGATTCTATAGCCTTTAGCCATTGCAGTTAAAGTGGTGTCAAACTGCATTAATTCTACAGTGTAGATGCACCCCTGGAGTCATAGTCTCAACCCTTAAAGTGCAACACACTGGCTCCAGTAAGCAAATGTGCTGCTGTTACTTTTTTCTGTATTAGAGATAATAATAGACTTCTTCCTTTCTCATGCAGGCAAAATTGGAAAATGGATCCAGTTTGGCTGACATATTGCAGTAAGTCACCATCAAGGCTCTTGTATTGGCCATCGAGTCAGTGGAGGGTGTTTATGATCTGGTTATCCGCATGCCAAAAATACTTGCAGTTATTTCAGATTTCCTTGAAATAACCTATGAGCCTGTTAATCTTGTTACCATGGAATAAAATCTAGAAGAAGCAGTGATGCTGTGAGGCAGGCCATACGTTATTTGGACTGATTGTAATGGAGTTTGGTGTGAATTCAGGATTTTCCCTTCATGTAGACAAGGGGAGGGTTTTCCCAGGCCTTAGAATGGGACATTGCAATAGTTCAGAGTGGGTCTTTGTGCCAAGTTTGGTCCAGATCCACTGTTGGTGGAGTTCACAGTGCTTTTCACATATAGGTGAACTAGAACTCTCATTGTCCTCTGTCATTGCCCCCCAAACCCCTCAGTGTTTGGAGTTGTCCATATTGGGTATGTGTGACAAGATTAGTCCAGATCTATCATTGGTGGGGTTCACAATTGGCTGAGGATACTTGCCATAGTTGCAGGCAAAACGTCATGAGAGAATGCTTCTAGAACATGGCCGAAAAACCTCCAACAACCCAGTTTACAATTTTCTTTGTGTATGGGTGAACTATAACTCATCAGTTGTTATTGCTTCCCAAACCCTAGAAGTATTTAAAGTTGATCATGTTGGGTATGTGTGCCAAGGTTGGTCCAGAGCCATCATCAGTGGGGTTCACAGTTCTCTTTGCATATGGGTGAACAATAACTCCCATAATCTTGTCATCGCCCCCTAACCCAAAGAGTATTTAAAGTTGATCATGTTGGGTTTGTGTGCTAAGGTTGGTCCAGATCTATTGTTGATGGGGTTCACTGTGCTCTTTGCACATGGGTGAACTATAACTCCCATCATCTTCTGTTATTGTCCCCCAAACCTCACCAGTACTTAAAGTTGGTCAGTCTGGGTATGTGTTCCAAGTTTGGTCCATCATCTGTGGGGTTCACATTGCTCTTTGTGTATGGGTTGTGGTGAAGTGTGAATTTTGATTTACAGTTATGTATGATTATAGATAGGTGTTAGGATTTAAACTACCATAACTGGGGAGGATGGTAGCCAGCTCAACTCACTTTGAGCTGGCTTGCCATGGAAAAAGGGGCGGAGTCAACTGCCACTTGGCAGGGCAGCCATTTTAAAATGGTTAGTCTGTAGTCAGTGAACTACAGGGAAGGCTGGTTCTGTTGTGTGTTGAGAACCAGTAAGGTAGTCTGTAGTCTAAGAACTTCAGGGAAAGGCTGATTCTACTGTGTTGAGAATCAGGAAGGTTTTGGCTTTTAGCCTGTGTAGTTTAGATGGGTCGAGTTGACTTACTTATATTAATAGTCAGTGTATGCGTAAAAGGGTGAGAGAACCCTAATAAGAATCTTTACTGCAACAGAAATAATATAAAGAAAAAATAAGCTTGTACCTGAAGTAATTTGTTAAAGAAAGAAACACATTTTGAAGGAAAATAAGTTTGAAACCTGTTTAGTGGAAGGAATAGTCCTCTTAAGAGTTGTTTTATGAAATGTTATAAATGTAACCTCTGAAGACATGTGCCTCTAAGAGTTAAGAAACATTGAAACCATCAAGCTTCTTCTAGACTTCAATAAACTAGCCAAGTCTCTGTAACAAATACTTTCAAGTTTAGCCACGCTACACATTGAAGAAAGACTAAATCATCATTACAAGCTATTAGCTGTGTTATCAATTTAGTAAGTCCTTATAAAGTGGTGGCTTCTTTACAAACCGTTACAAACTAGTGCCTTCTTTACAAATTGGTGGCCTCGTTACATGGGTGAACTGTAACTCTCGTATCATCTGTAATTGCTCCCCAAATCCTAGAAGTATGAGTGAACTATAACTCCCAAAGTCTTGTCATCACCTCCTAACCCAAAGAGTATTTAAGGTTGATCATGTTGGGTTTGTTTGCTAGTAACCCCCATTGTTGATGGGGGTTACTGTGCTCTTTGTACATGGGTGAACTATAACTCCCATCATCCTCTGTCATTGTCCCCCAAACCTCACCAGTACTTAAAGTTGGTCAGGTTGGGTATGTGTTCCAGGTTTGGTCCAGATTCATCATCGGTGGGGTTCATATTGCTCTTTGTGTGTGAGTGGGCTATAACTCTCATCATCCTCTATCATTGACCCCAAACCCCATCAGTATTTGATGTTGGTCATGTTGGAAATGTGTTCCAAGGTTGGTCGAAATCCATTGTTTATGGGGTTCACAGTGCTCTTCGCAGATGGGTGATCTATAACTCCCACTGTCCTCTATCATTGACCCCAAACCTCAGCAGTATTTGATGTTGGTCATGTTGGATATGTGTTCCAAGGTTGGTCTAGATCTATTGTTGATGGGATTCACAGTGCACATGGGTGAACTATAAATCCCATCATCCTCTATCATTGACCTCAAACCCCATCAGTATTTGATGTTGGTCAAGTTGGATATGTGTTCCAAGGTTGGTCCAGATCCATTGTTGATGGGGTTCACAGTGCTCTTTTCACATGTGTGAACTATAACTCCCATCATCCTCTGCCATAGCCCCCTGAACTCAGCAGTATGGAAATTTGGTCATGATGAGTATGTGTGCCAAGTCAGAATAAAAAATAGATCACCTTTCCATTGAAAATTAATTTGGGACATAGCATTTGTATCAAAACAGACACCTTCTGTGCAAGACAATAGAAATGACCAGTCAGAACTAACTTCTTTTCTACGTGGTTTCCTTTTATTAATTTCACTAGTGATAATGAAGAGTTTCCACCTCCTCCGTGGTCACATTTTGACCTATGGAGAGATGCTTTCCTTAAATGGTGAATTTATGGTTTATTTTCTCATGCTATGAACCAAAGATATTATATAAACCCTGAAAATCTCTCTTTTGAGGGGAAATGAAACATAATGCCTGTTGGGTTTCCTGTTTGCTCAGTTAAAAAAAATACTTACATTATGCTGCTATGTCCTATTGTTAATAACTTAATATAATTTTAGAAAGAAAGGAAAAAAAGGATGGGACTTTACCACTTCCCCTCTTTGGCTCCTAATCCCTATTGTGTCTGATTTAATGGTTGCACTCTTATGATTCATCCACTCTTGTGATTCATGCCTGCCTTGTTGTGCCAGATGCTCTGATGGGATTTTATATATAGCGCACATGTTATTATTTCAGAGAGGTTGCTTCAGTCACCAATGACCTCTAATAACTTGAGTAGTTGAGTTAATATTCATTTGTTGGCATGTTATTCTTGTCCCCCTTTTCTCAGTTTCCAGGTGACCCACATGAAGATGGAATTCCCGCTCTTAGTCCCGGTCCTTGCAATTGCAGCAGTTTTGCATTCAGCAGTCAGGTGGGTTTTCTATTTTAGTGCTGCCATTTGGACTTGTAGACTCCGAATTGCATATTGTTGAAGGCCAGATGCCCACAACTTAATCA